ATGACAGGTGTCATTTGGAGTTCTGGTTCTGTGTTTTATACACTTAATAGAGTCGATCTGTACAAATATTGGGCTTGTGTTTTTTTAAGTACGATAAATGTTTTTGACTACTTTAATTGCTATTTTAATATTTTCCTAAATTATCTACTTTTAATCTTTTGAAAGACACTGTCCCACTTTGACAAATTATACTTTGTTTAAAAGTCTCTTCTGCAAAGCATTTTGGGATCCCCATATCAGACTTGTGGCTACCACTCCAAAGTCATTTCCTTACAGACCTTATATTCCCTTTTTATGCCAAAAAAACATACGTTTGCCATGTTTGTGCCTCTGTAACTTTGGTTCAGTATCTCTTCTACTCATTCTGACTTTTTGGTTGTAACATTTAAAGAGTTACCTTTACCAGTGTTATGACTGTGATCAAAATGGTTGAAGAACCGTAACCTTTTTATTTTCAGTACATTACTTTTGGGGCTTGTGAACAAAGATGTGGGTGTCTAGTAACAGGTTAAAGCAAAAGCACCACTTTTAGACACTTAAAGCTCCACTGATCAATATTTTTTCGTGAACAATGAATCAGATGACTGCGATGTGAAGAGTTCATCAATAATTATCAGGCCATTATGCATGTCTGTAGCCTCGTTTACCTCATTGTTCTGGCTGTACAACCCACAGGGTCTGATATCACTCTTCCCATTTCCAGCAGCAGCAGACTTCTTCTTCTTCGTCTTCAGCAAACAAGGTCTGATTAGCAAACTGTATATGTACAACCAATCACCTAGCAGCAGACAGACAACATTGGCAACAAGCGGTGGAAGAAAGTCAAACATGTAAAGAAATAGCCAAAGCTAAAGTTTTCTCCTGTCCCAACAAAGACTACAGGATAGAGTCTCACCAATCCCACATATAAAACCTTAGACAGCTGTTTCTTAGAGCTGAAGCTCGGACAAGCTTGTACGCTGCCTGTCCAGTTTCAAATGGCAGAGAAATGAACCAAACAAGCACCCAGCTGCTACAGAGGCAGATATGTTTCTCAGGAGTGTGTCGACATAATGAGAGCTAAAAAAGAGAGCGAATATCTGCATTCAGTCGTCAGGTGAACACACACAGATGTTGCTGTGTATCTGCTACATGTGTAGGTAAGAAATCTTTTGCTAATGACTTGATAAGATCTTGGCATGTCGGGGCTGTTTTGGATTCTTTCTGACGGTCCGTTCAGTCCAAAATTGCTTTAAACACTATCACTGGCATGTATCTTAATTGTTATGGTAGTTTGGTGGTGTATTCTATATACAGTAAGTGGCTAAACATATGATTCAGTGATAGTAATGGTTCGTTTCAGTCTCACAGAATCAATCAGAGACTCAATCAATATTTTGTATTCAGTACAAGAGACGTGTCACCGTACATTTTAAATCAGAGGATTGACTCTGACTTCTTCACCAGTAGAGAAACTGTCACTTCCTCGCTCTCACTCGACTCCCATCATGTCTTGTGTTCACACCTGCTGTCGAACATTATTCTGTTGTAGACGAAGCAGGAAGAGGAAAAGTTGGTACAACATGGAAGTAAATTACAACACTTAACTCATTAAAGGAGCACGTTGGATGTCACAGGCTGATATCTCACAGTGTAATCGAATCAGAGGAAAGACATTTCCTCACAAAAGGAAGTCACAGGTGACCGACTTCTCCTCGCCTCTGTCATCTGACCACTAGACTGGACACAAATCATGAGCGAGATGTGCTCAGGTGACAGGCGAGCAAGGCAGCTTACAGACTCCCTCAGCAAACATCATCTCTTCTCTTTCATGCTTTCAGTTTCTGTCGACAGAAAATATCAAAAAATACGGATAAAAAAAAAAATAAAAAAAAACAGATCTTCCTTTTGCAAACGCTGTGTAATATCTACACATATGCTATGTGCAAAATGAGATGAACAAGTGAGTAATAAATGATTAATGGTCAATTTACTGTTGGGCCTCTGAAATATTGAGAGAGAGCTCAGCCATGAAATGCAATGTAAATGGATCTATTTATAGTGTAGCAGTGGAAGTCATGTGGAACAAGCTGGTCGGTGGTGCCTTGTTCATATAGCTTTTAGAGGCAAATGACAGGGGAGAAAAGAGGGAGGAAAAACACACATACACTACACCCACATTTGCATGTAAAGCCACTTTTCATGGGGACATTAAACTTTTAGACACACACAGCAGGAATAGCAATAAATAATTTCCACATTGAGGAAGACGGAAAGCCCCAGCTCAACTCCCACGTCCCCTGCATCCTCCCACGCCTATTAAACCCCCTTCTCCCACTTTGTCTCATGGGATTGTTTGGGAGTGAAAAGGAAGGGAAGTGACATGTTAAAACCTCTTTTTATTAATTCTAAGGAGAGAGAGAGAGAGAGAGGCAGGGAGGGTTTGGCGGGGTGTCACAGCAGCTGATGGCAACAGGGAGGCTGTTAGATGCACACTCTAATATCAAGCAGAGGGTATCGGGATGAATAACTTAACACAAACCTCAAATCCTCTGCTAACAGTAATAAAATATGATCGTGTTTCCCTGACGTGGCAGGGAGAAGACTGCAGATTGAGTCCTCATCACTGCCTCTTTTATTACATTATCACCAAGTGCCAGGACCTGGTGTAATGTTCACTTGTTTGCAGCAGGGTAGATACATATTATAAGAACTATGACCTCCCAGAGATTGCCAGTGGATATTACTGCGGCTACGAAACTACATTTAACACCTACAGACAGTATACTGTGTGTGGTTGAGTGGGTGCTCAGTTATGCTGTTCGAAAATCACTGACCTTAAATTTTACTTCTCAAATCCACTACAAGGAACATATAATATCGAGCTTAAGATTATTTAAACATGTTGTTTTGGGGCATTTCTGTAAAAAGTCAGAAAATAGTGAAAAATGCCCAAGTTGACATCTTCAAACAGCTTGTTTTGTCCAACCAACCTGTCCAAAGCCCAAAAATATTCACTAAAACAGTTTTGTTTTGTTTAAGGAGCTGTTACCTGGAAATCCTTGGTGTTTTTGCTTGACAAGTGACTCCAAAAAGTAATTAACTATCAAAATAGTTGCTGATTAATTTTCTGTTGATTGACCAATCGATAAATTGGCCAGTCATTTCAGCTCTAGTCATATAGTGTAGCTTTATAAATAGCCCCCACACACTCGTACTCAGCAGCTCTAATAATGACACTGATCCAGACAAAAAAGCATTAGTGGGTGATCAATAATTTAAGATTCAGGGTAATTCCAGCCTCTATTATCTGATGTCACTCACTGTGGTTATAATGGGGTTTATTACTGCTGTGTGGCATCCTGTTATGGAAGAGTGGTAGTGCACTGCCACCTTCTGGTCACTGTGTCCACTAGCAAGCGTTTGTTGAATCTCATATGTGGACACCTGAACATCACACTCACATGTACAGACAAGTGTCTGAACACCATTCCTCCTAAACATATCCCCTCATTTGGTGTTGTAATGATGGTGGTGGAGAGCAGTGTTCAACACGTCAATCCAAAGTCTCCCATAGGTGTTCGGTTGGGTTGAGATCATCTGACTGTGAAGGTCAGAGCATATGATTCTCATCATTTTCATACTCATCAAATCATTCAGTGACCTCTCCTCTCCTGTGGATGGGGATTGTGGATGAGTTTCTCCACCTATTTTTTAAGTTTTCCCTTTAATTTTGTCACAGTCTGACTGTTGATCATCTCATTCTGAGTCGTTAACCTGCTGCTCTAACAGCCTCCACTCTTCTGGTTTCAGGCTTTCAACCTGATTTTGGAACCTGATTACAGGGATTTTCTCCCAGGCAGCCACAAGGTCTGGTTCATCCCAAAGGGTCGACAGGGATGGGGTTTGAGGTCAGGACTCTGTGCAGGCCAGTATAGTTCTTGCACACCAAACTTTCTGTCTGGATCTGGCTTTGTGGATGTAAAAGGTCTTCCGCTGTGGAACTGGGTGTCAGCATACTTTGAGGCGCATTGTATGGGTAACTGCAAATACAAAGAAACTGATCAGATCTGAGCTAATTGGTTTTACAGCTTTGAATCTTGCTAAATGTATTAATTCCTGATTGCTATTTTTATCTAGAATTGTCTGCTATTGAGGAAACATGTCAAATGTGTGAGAAGGATGGAGTTACTGCTGCTTGTTCATGCCCTCTCTGGTAAGTTTCAGGTGTGCGGTCAGAAGTGTGCTCTGCTGCACCTGTAATCACACCTGACAGTGATGTCACAGGTTCCTGTGGCACACCTGTACATCACAGCAGCAAGGTGAGTTAGTTAAACCACTGGAGAGCAGCAAAAACAAGCTTTTCATGAGATGTTAAGTTACTCTTTCCAAAAAATATTACATGCTGACAAAATGTTTCATCCAGGTAAATATTCCTTAAAAGTCCTGGAAGATATTTTGTGTAAGCTCTTTCCTGAAGTACTGGTTCCCAACTCAGGGGTTTGAATCCTTGAGGGGTCACAAGTTAAATCTTAACAGGTTCATAAAAAAGAGAACATATATTACTGATTTAGAAAATTATGTTTATTTTTTATGGTTCAAATCTTTGCTTCTTTCTTGTGAAATATCCATGAGTTTTACTTCAAAAACTGTTGAATTCAGTCAGTGTATGAATCATCACTTTAAAAAAAAATCAAACTCCTCACATCCCATAGAAACATGCAGCCTGTCACCACAATCCATGCCCTATAACTGCTGAGTTCAAATCCAGCCTAGGACATTTCTGACCCAGTTGGTCGGGGTTTAGTAGTGTTTAAATCACGGAATATCTTGCGTAAAAGTTAAAGTTAAAAGATGTCTGTCACCTTTACCACACACAGCCCTGCCCATACTGAGACTAGTCAGTACAACATCTGGGTAAAGTGCCACTATCTGCAGCTGAGCACCAGGCAGATTAAACTGAGTTTATTCAGCATGTTTGTCATTCAAAATAACTTTTTTTCCACACAGGAGAGCTGTGTCATTATCAGCAGAGTGGAGTAACTGTCCTGCATGGGAACAGTCCACCTGTCTGCTCATGATATTAAGAGACCAGAGGAACTGAGGCCTGACACACTCGTGGCTCCTGAGCGGTCCGGACGTACAGGCGAGATGAAAGGCCTCTGGTTGGTGTTTGTGCTTGTGGCTGCGGCTCAGGCCGCGAGGGTTTTCACTGGGTGAGTTTATCTGTGCACACTGCAGGAAGAAACCGCTACAGTGGTTTTACTCTGGCTTTACTCTTTTTCTTTTAACTTTAACATTAAAATTCCAACTGTTTTTGTGATTTAATGATGGCATTTTTCTTTCTTTTATAATTCTAATGTGTTACTGATATGATAAAGGAAACTCCATTCAACATATCTACAACCCCACATCTCCAACAGTCAGAAATTGCTATGGTTCCACGTGTAAAACTTTAGATGCTCCATAGAAATTTAACAAGAAAACGTGACTCACAGTATGAGTGTTTCTGGAATTATACAGTACATTTTCTCATAAATAAAATAACTATCATACCAGAATCAGCCTCATGTGGGGCATTAATTTCAGTCTGCCATTTGATTTGAAGATACTGTTATTTTTTGGTGGGGTTTCCTCCATTAAACGCCTTCTGTTCAACACGTAAAACAACTACCCAAGTTGAACAAGTACATTGGTATTAATACTGTAGGTAGATTATTACTCAGCTTTATGTTTAGAGAAAGATGAAATCTTGATTATAGTCTTAATACAGAGCGTGGAGTGGGAGTCATGGGTCTGAGCACTATCTGTTCCATGCGATTACTTGCTTGTTATATTGGTGAGCAATGAATTAAATCACCCTCTATTAATGAGACTGTCATGAGTAAGAGCATCAACCAAAAACATAGGATATAAATAATATAAAATCATATAAATAATAATGTTCAGAGACTGAAACGATTTTCTTCCAGTGATCAGGTCATCAGGGTCAATGTGCAGTCTGAGGAAGAGATCCAACTCCTGCAGGCTCTGGAAAACCAACAGGAGTGGGAGGTACACACACACACACACACACACACACACACACACACACAAACACACAGATACAGATACAGTGCAAACACCTACACTCAAGTTTTCTCAGCTGCTTGTGCCAAACAGTTTTCTCATGAACCTCAGAGAAGTGCAGGAGGCGAAACCAAGTTCAGCGTGAAATAATCCACGTGGGAGTTCATGTGGGTTGAAGGTTAACGGAATCATCCTCATGTCAGAGAGTCGGGAGCTCTCAGTGGCCTGGCTGATGTTGCACGGTTCACCCTTCAGTGCAGAGACAATCCAGGGATTAACCTTTCCTCTTGTTTTGTGCTATTTATGAAATGTCTCAGTCTTCTAAAACATAAATGAAAGCAGATTTTAGAAGTTAGTATCATAAATACACGTCTACAATAGATTTCACAGCAACAGACTCTAAATTGAGATGATGTTTGTTTTAGTTGACTTTAGATTCGTAGTGGGGAATTTTGAAGCTTTGACTCAGTGGAAAAGATCTGTGATAAAGATTGCAATAGGATGTTCAAGGTTATGTAACTTTATTTGCCATTTGCACACGTACTGAAGCTAATGAAGCGGACGGATCTATTTGAGAAGAGATCTTTTTAAAATAACCATTCTGCTCAGTACACTCTGTACTTCTTGGTGTTGTGAGTCCAGTCTGATTCCTCATTGTCTGTCTGATCCCAGCTGGACTTCTGGCTGCACCCAGTCTCCACTGAGCTTCCTGTCGACATCCGTGTGCCCCGCTCCAGTTTGAGCTCTGTGAAAGAGTACCTCGATGCCCACAGCATCCCCTTCACTGTCATGATTGACAACCTCCAGGTTTGTGATTCCCTGAGTGCAGTTCATTAACACACACGCTGATACTTGTCTGTCAAACTGGTTCAGAGGATTCATCAGTGTCTTATGTCCCAGCGTCCCTAATTATAGCGTCTTGTTTTTTTCATTTGATTCTGAGAATAAACTGATTACAATGCTGAATATTAGATATCTTTCATGTCACATTCAGGAGGTTCTCGATGCAGAGAAAGCTGAGATGTCAGAGAACCAGATGAAGGAGCGCAGCACCAGGAGCTTCAACTTTGGAGCCTATCATCGTCTGGAGACAGTAGGATATTCACACACAAACACAAACACGTCATCAAAACTCATTTTAGCTTCATATCAAACTGAGTCCGGTGTCCAAAATACTGATTAATGACACTTGAAGCGAAGCAAGCACGACAAGACTTAACTCCTGGGAACCAGATTCACAAAGAGAGACTTTGGCTGTGGCTTAGATCAAAGTAATAGATAAAGAAAAGTTGACACTCTTCAAACTCAAAACATGGCTGACGCTCAGCTCCTTCCAGTCCAGCAGAAAAAATTTAAAAATTCGACATTTCACTGTGATATCAAATCAAGTTGAGCTACTGTGGCGTTGTAACGCTGCAGGGCTCAGTAGCTATTCTAATTCTTCAGTTCAAGCTCAAGAAAGTTTCTTTGGTCAAACAAAATGATTGACAGTTGCCTGAGACTCTCCTCAGTGCTGCACGTTTCTGTCATGTCTTTTTTTTTTTTTTTTTTTTTTTTTTTTTTTTACAGTGGATATTAACATAAGCGGCTCTTAGATACAGTGAACAGCTGAAAAAAACAACAACTAGCCCATGGTTTTGTTGACCCCTGCCTTAAATACAAATATACGTTAAACTTTCTCCCCCCTCAGATCTACAGCTGGATGGACACCCTGGTGGCTCAGCACCCTAACCTGGTCACCAAGCAGGAAATTGGGAAATCCTACGAGAACAGGCCCATGTATGTGCTCAAGGTAGGATAACAACACCTCATACAAGACAGCATCACATGTGTTTGTACCTGTCCATCTATGCTCTGTAAGAAATGTGTTACCACAGGTCTGATGTAGCTATAAAGCTACATCAGTCACAATGAAGGTGTGGATTTGATTTTACACAGCAGTTTACATACATCTAGCACTGCAAGTACACGTTAACTAGTATCTACTCCTTTAACCAGTTTAACTCTTCATCAGTGTATCACACATCCGCTGAGGGGAATTTAGTTTTCAAGATTGATGACAAGATGACATTTTTCACACTTTTATCACTTTTTATCACTGTATTAAAAATATTTGGGATTTTTAATTAATATTTACTTTGTGTTTAGTTCAGCACTGGCGGCAACAAGCGTCCTGCCATCTGGATCGACACAGGAATCCACTCCAGGGAATGGGTGTCTCAGGCTACTGGAGTGTGGACGGCCAACAAGGTACAACGTGTCGGCAGGATAAGGTTTACGTTGAATTTGTATGTGGTAGAAACCATCAGAAAAAAGGGTCTGAGAGGTGCGCCGTGGTAAATACAGCTGAAATGATCAGCTGATTGACAGAAAATTAACTTTTTTTTTGACGGCTGATTAATCATTTCAGTCATTTCTAAAGCAAAAATGCCAAACTTTCTCTGGTTCCATTTTTTCTTTTTCATTTTCACTGTAAATTTAATATCTTTTTAGTTTCATTTGCTGAACAAAACAAGGAATCTGAAGAGGCCAGTTTCTCACATTTTATAGACAAAATAATCAGCAGATGAACAGATAATGAAAATATGGCAACCCTAATAATAATTACAATTTATAATGGTATGTTGACAAGAAATCAACAGCTACTTACACCTACTCCCAAAAAGCCACTCACTGTATATTAATGCATCTGTTATTCTTGTTTCTAGACTCAGTTAAAGACAGTTAAACTGCAGAAGAAATGACAGATTGCTTTCTCTTTTTGAGACTCATCACTCTGTGTTCTTGCTTAGATTGCCACTGATTACGGCAGAGATTCTTCCCTGACCTCCCTCCTGAACACCATGGACATTTACATGCTGCTCCTGGCCAACCCTGACGGTTATGCTTACACCCACACCAACGTACGTCACCACCACTCAATGGGACAGCTGCATCATCTTCACACTTACTTTTTGTTTTACTATGAAAATGTCATTTTTGTGTTGTGTGTAATATTTTGAGAGGGAGCCATGATACAAGTCAGAGCAATCTACTGTTGAAACCAGTAATTTCAACCATGCAGGAGCAGAATGAGGTTTATTTTCACATTGGCAGGATCTGAAGGACGTAAGGGTCATGCAGTTCACCAGCTGCATAAAAATGCTTGTACAATTTAAATCATAGAAGGAAAATGATGATGCATACTAACTGAAGCTGTCTGATGTACAGGACCGTATGTGGCGTAAGACTCGCTCCAAGATCTCAGGCTCCGTGTGCCGTGGAGTCGATCCCAACAGGAACTGGGACGCTGGCTTTGGCGGTCAGTATAGAAGAGACTCATAAACTTTGTGTTGTATAAATTTGTTTTTGTATTAAGTAGACGGAGAAACCCACTTTGTAGTATTTCGCAGATATAGATAGAGAAAAAACCTGCCACATTCATCATCATTTGTTTGAGGGTAACACATAAACGCCTCCGCTTTACACAGACTTCGGTCTTGGTTTGTTTACATATATTATAAGAAAAAGAAAGAAATTCAAGCTTCAGCTGCTTCTAAGTTTTAAATCATTGTTTCTATATAAGACAATACATTTAAAAAACACATATGATGATTCCTATGAAAAAAGATCAATTTAAAAGAACCTGTGAGACAAATTTTTGTGTGAAATCTTTTTGTTTTGGACACAGCATATGAACACTTACCCAATTGCCACTTTATTAGGTACACGCGTAAAATATGTTGCAATCCAATACAACAGCTCAGTCATAAATTCTACCTTTTTAAAAGGATAATAAAGTTCAATTTTTGGTGTCAGAAATGTGTAAATTAAATTATATGTTTATTATTATGTTCATAAATACAGCTGGTTTTGTCTGAACTACATTACATTGAGAGCTGTTTCAAATTTTTTGTGCTTCTCATTTACATACATGAAAATATTAGAAAACACCTCTGAGTATAATTCAGTCATTTGTCTTGGATTGCATTAGATGTTACACATGTACTTCATGAAGTGACTTAATATGTAGTATACACATTATGTGTACATGTAACACTGTGTGTGTCATGTACTTTGAGCCGTCTTGGATTGGACATGAAATCCTGCTGCTTTCTGCCATCTGTTAGTGCGTTCTGTGTTGTTACATGTCTCATCTCCTCACGATATGTTTCAATTTCCCCATTTCCCTTCAGGTCCCGGTGCCAGCAAGAATCCCTGCTCTGATTCCTACCACGGCCCCTCGGCCCATTCTGAGATCGAAGTGAAGAATGTGGTGAACCTGATCAAGAGCCACGGCAACTTCAAGTCCTTCATCTCTGTCCACGCTTACTCCCAGCTGCTCATGTACCCCTACGGCTATTCCTGCAGAAACGTGCCCCATCAGCCTGAGCTGGTAAGAGAGGAGAAACTGTGAGGAGGCTGCTGAAAGTCGATGGTGTAGAGTGTCTTTAAAAAAATTTTTATTCTCCTACCCTCAGCTTTATTACTGGGGATCACAGTTTCTTCCCTTATTAAAGTTTTATAGCTGAAAATTCAAATAATTTTCTTTGGGGTTGATGAATTATAAACACATCGCTACAACATTTGACAAATTATATTTCTCATCTCAGCCAGGTAAATGTTTTTTCATCAATATTCTGCTTCAAGTTTACACAGTTTATTAACATAACTGCCTAATGGACCCATCGTCCTATAGTTATTCACATGTAATTAAGTTTAAGTGTTTACAGCCTTGGAAAGGCCTCACCAGATATTTTCTTTTTGAACATTTGAACTGGATATTTTTTCTTTCTCTTTCTTTTCCTATCTGCACCAGTATTATCTGGTATTATCCAGTATTATCCTTCTCCTAACTTCAGTATTATGTCCTTTTTATTTTGCTTCCTGTAGGACTCTGTCGGCAGAGCTGCAGTGCAGAAACTCACCTCTCTCTACGGCACCAGGTACAAGGTTGGAAGCATCTGCAACATCATCTGTAAGTAACTCTGTCATCTCTGCTCATAATCACTTCATAAGAACTCAAACAGTTACAGATTACTGAAATGTGTGGATGTACTCATGATAAATGATCAGTGGTGGAAAGTGACTGAGTACATTTACTCAGGTATTGCACACAGCTTTTGGGTTCTTCTACGTTTACATCACCGCACTGAAGAACAATATTGTACTTTTTGGTCAACTGCATTCATTTACAGCGGGCAAAAACTATTTACTTTACTTTTATATGAATATGAATATTTAACAAATATGATGCATTTCTGTACAGTATATACTGTAAACTACACAAAAGTATAAAAAGATAACATCGGCTCCACATTTCACTTCAGTATTAATAAACCAATAATATAATAGTATATGCATTGATTTAACATTCTTAAAGGGGCAATCCTGCCTAATGAGTACTTTTACTTTTGATGCTTTAAGTATATTTTGCTGATAATACTTTTCAACTTTTACTTATGTAGAAGATTTGAATATGTCCACCATTGTAAATAAAACCTGGAACTAAAAGATCATCCTTAATCAAACAAAGTAAAATATTAATTGTTATCTATTTAAAATACTTTTAATATTAGATTTAATATTACCGTTAACACTGTTGCCACTAAAACTACTAGTATGACTGTCATGTCTCCTTGTCTGCTTCTCTTAGATCAAGCTAGTGGCGGCAGCATTGACTGGTCCTACAATGTGGGCATCAAATACTCCTTTGCCTTTGAGCTGAGAGACACCGGTCGCTATGGTTTCATCCTGCCAGCCAATCAGATCATCCCCACTGCCTCCGAGACCTGGCTGGCCCTGAAACACATTATGGAGTACGTCCGTGACCATCCTTATTGATGGCTACAACCTTGGATGGAGGCTAAACTATAAATGATTAAGTTGTCAGATGTCTGACTTCAATATTAACCAATAAAGTCACAAATACCCTGTTTTTCCCTGTTTCAGAACTTTTTTTTATCTTTCTGTGTTCATGTGTTTCACTTATGGCTGACCTGCATGGACCACAGGCACTTGACTCTCACTTTTAATTTATTTACTTTTGTTGCTATTACCTGGCAGCCTTCACAGTCTTTCATTATTAACTAATTACACCATTACAATATGTTAAAACTGAGATTATGTATGCATGGTTTGTGCAGTGTGCATGACAATATATATATATACACATATTAAAGTGTATGTATTGAAGGAGTTTTTGCTGTTGGCAGAAAAAACTCCCCCCCTAGACCTGGACTTCATATTCTACCTTTACATTTAGGACTAGACTAGGATTTGAAGCTGCAGTTATGTATTATAAGTGGCAATGCACTTTAATCTGCGCCCTGTGCATATACAGCCTCAGTGGGCCACAGCTTTTAATGCATCTATTGTCATGGCTAGAAATAACTGAATCAACAAGTGAACACGTGCATCTGTAATAGTTACTGAAGGAATCTGTCATTAAGTGTTTACAACACATTTAGTCTGCACAATCTGAAATCTTAGCACATTTCAACCCTGTTCTCTCAGTTTAGTGCAATTACTGTGCAAAACTTTCATTGTGAGGCTTTTACAACTTTATACCATATTATTTATTTAATTTTCCTGTCTTCATTATTCTCTGACCTCAAGATAAAGTGGAAAAACATCTAACCTTGTCCCCTACACTGAGAAAAAAAATTCTGTAGTCTATTTCATAATAAAAGACAACTGAATAAGACTTTATTGCTCTATTGTCTGAATTAATACCTGCTAATTTTCAGAATTAAGGTCAACTGGTCTCCAGTATGTCTGCTTGAACATAAAAGTACCATAATCAAACATTAGGCACTAAAAAACACAATTCATTACAAATGGGAAGGCTCTATTGTTTCAGATACAAGAAATAGTCTCTCAGTTAACAGCCAACAGTTATCAACAGCTTACTGTAGTAATAATAATACTACTTCATATTTCTGACAATAACAAACTTTTATATCCAGGCTTTTTGAATGCCCATGTCCTTTAGGCCTTTACATGTGTTTTTTTAGGACACAGTTTCATTTGACTCACTGGCATTGTGTTTAAAACCATGTTACAAATTCCTTTTTTATTTTATGTGCGGAAAAAGGGAACAAAATGAGAAGGAGGATAAAACTGTTTGGCTGTTTTATGGAGGTAATTTGAACTGAAATGTGTGTTGTGCTTCCTGTGGAGGAACAACCTCAGTTTCCCGCTTCTTTCTGGTCTTGACCTGCCGACCATTGATGACTGTGACGCAGGAGTTAGCTGCTTGAATCCCTTCAGCCAAAGAGACGTTAAAATGGGTTACCTGAAACAAATTGATATCGAAAACTTCAAGTCATGGCGAGGGACGCAAGTTATCGGTCCTTTCATGCAATTTAATTGTATAATTGGCACGAACGGCTCTGGTAAGCGAACTTTTTTTTTTGTAGTCAACTTGTCCAGCTCAGAACTAAAGCTAGCTAGCCGATGCTCACAGGCAGGGCCCATTAGCAGACAAGCTTCTGTTAGCTTGATATAATTTTGTTTATACCTCTTTTTGCTAAGTTAATTATGTGTAAATGACTGAATAATGCTGTGAACACAATATAATGCAATTAAAAAGAATGTTTTTAAAGGGATTTCAGACAACTCTTGTGTTTTGAATTTGGACTGCAGTACCCATTTTTAAACGTGTGTCGTCAGTGTTACATATTGTTCCTTTAATTGATTTATTCAGATGAGTGATGGCAAGAAATTTTAACCATGTCAAATCAAACCAGGCAAGTCCAACGTGATGGACGCCCTGAGCTTCGCCATGGGGGAGCGGGCTGCCTCTCTTAGAGTGAAGCACCTCAGAGACCTTGTTCATGGAGCCCATGTAGGGAAGCCTGTGTCCGACACTGCCCGGGTCGCCATGCGGTACTGCAATGATGGGGGCCAGGAGACCGTCTTCTGTCGGACTATCACCGGTGAGTTGTCTTTGAAGAGTTTAAATCTGTTTGGATCAGATTAGACTGTATGTTAGGTTAGTCATCAGTTGACGCCACATTAATGCGTTTTTAAGGAGGAAATGCAGAAATCAAGTTTAAGTTTTCAGGCTTCATATTATATAGAAAAAGTCAGTTGAAACTACAATGTGTCAGAGCACAACATAAATCCTAAACCCCTTCTAAGACAAGTGGAATACATGTAAAATCCTTAATGGATATAATCAGTGGTAGAAGAGGTACACATACTTAGATACTTTACTACTTTACTAATGTAAAAGCAATAATACCACAATGTAAAGATTACAGCTGAATTAATAAATGGATTGACTGAAAAATAATAGGCACCTATTTCATAATCGATTAATCCTTTCAGTTATTTTTAATCAAAAATACAGAAACAGTGATAAATATTCTCAGACTCCATCCTCACAAATGACAATATTTCCAGCTTTTTTTTTTGTCATTTATCAACTTTTTAATTGTAGGTGTTTTTAGGTGCAGCTAATTTGACTTCATTACAGTATGTGACCCTGCACACCCATGGTCCACCCCAGGTGTTTTAACTTATTTGTCCTGATCCAGTCCTTTTGTCAGGACTGTTTGACCGTGTACAGACTGAACTTGATTGACATCTCTCCCACTGTTAGTTTTGTTGTGGGAGAAGTTAAAGCTTAATCAATCTTATTTACTTAACACAAAATTGACAAGGTCTAATTACACGCAATAACTGGAAAAACGTCACATTTCATAAGTTAGTCACACGTTTCTGTCTTATACTAGTATATGCACTTAGTTACTGTAGACCACTACATATAATTTTAAATAAACAAGTTTTGTATCATTTGACCTAGCACATGTATACCTCTTAATAGTTGCTGTAGTTAACCAATGCCTAAAAACTTCAACAAAAAAGTCTTAAACTCAGACTGTACTTTCCCCTTTCAGCAAGTTACTAATGTGGTCCAAGTTCTTTGCATACTCCACAGGTCTTGCTGTGAAGAAATAGCAGCTAACAAACTGTCTGGCAACAAGTCTGACCAAAATTCTGCATTGGTTGTGACATTCAAGTCTGATTCCCATCTCTCCTCAGAATAAATGCATCAGTCAGTTTTTGGTGAAATCTGTCTTAACTGCCATTCATTGGATTTTTCAGGTGACTCCTCGGAGTATTGCATCAATGGCGTGCATGTTACTCTCGCCAAGTATGTGGAGGAGCTCGAGAAGATTGGCATTGTGACCAAAGCTCGAAACTGTCTAGTGTTCCAGGTAAAATATTGAGGGGTTGCACTGAAATGTGTATCACTGTTTAGATATTTAGGACTTGTTTTGACATTAGTTGAGTTAAACATGAAAGTATGCCGAAATTACATGGACAGTATTTACTGATGTGGGACATAATGAAGATGAGCACTTTATTATTATTATTATTTTTAAATTATTTAATACTTTACTTTAAGTGATCCTATTTAGCTTTTATAAGCAGCAATCATTTAATGATTTAAAATGCATAGTATTTGTCATCAAGTATAACTCTTCTTGTGGGCACACATAAGTGAAGGCTGCTGTCTAAACAGATAACTAAGGAAAATGTAGTAAAACACAGTTCTAATGATTGAAAAAATGTCTTCATATTGGAAGTTAGAATTTTTGACAAATACTGTACATTAATAAACACTTAAAAATGTCCATATATCTGCTGATAGTGTTATAAATCATCCATTAATTTTTTATTTTCTGGTTACAAATGCTAAATAGGGGATTTTAAGTAGATTGTTACCAGTTTATTTTTTGTCTGAAAACTTTCATGGTGTGGATACATACCCCTGTAGGTGAATGTATGTAAAAGAAAAACACTCTGACTCAGTACATATTCTGAAAAAATAAACCCCCCACACTTGAAATGGGTAATTAAGCGCCATACAGATATATGCTGCGGAGAAAACAGTTTGAAAAATATACATGACATTCTTTCCATGTAGCATATAATGATAGACATGACGAAATTAACTAACAGTTAAATAACATTATATTAACAAATAACATAAAATGTGTAGAAACAGGTAATGGCTGGTTGTAATAATGCCTTACATAAAAAGGTCTGTTAATCATTATACTCATCACTAGGGGGCAGTGGAGTCCATAGCTTTGAAGGACCCAAAGGAGAGGACCAAGATGTTTGAGCTCATCAGTCAGTCGAAAGAGTGCGCTGCAGAGTACGACAGAAAGAAAGAGGCCCTGCTTAAGGCCAAAGAGGACACACAGTTTCACTTCAGCAAGAAGAAATCTGCCACTGTTGAGAGGAAGCAAGTGTCCCAGGAAAAAATAGAGGTAAGTTTATACAAAAAGAGGAATATAATGAGTCTGTCAACCAGTAGGGTCATACACCCTCATTGCAACAATGTTACCTGTCAGACGCATTCATAACCACCCTTAGACAAGTTTCTGGCTGAAAGTAGCTGGCTTGTGTTAATTTTCCAACTTCGAAGACAAAATGCTGCTAGAGTTTTATCACTAACACCACAGCTCCTGATGGGCCTTGGCCTGTGTTGTGATCAGATGCTGGAGAAGTTTGGACAGAACCAGAGGTACGGTTGGTATGATACAGTGTCTGGGTTTCCCACAGGAAATTGATTTTGCAGAGGTGGTGATCACTGCTAAATCACCAGCCACACCCCCACCCCATCTGATCACAGTCATTGATGATAGAAGTTCTGCGAGTTGACACGAACTTCAACCCGTTGCAGATTTTTTTTAAAATGTGTATGTGTTCTCACACAGTAGCAACTGTTTGTGACCGATTACAATGTTTTTCTTTACTTTTCCCATGTTTTAAAATTTGGATGGTCTTCAATTTTTCTGACATTGTGATCAGATCCAGATCCTGAATCATCTCATTATCATTGTAGTTTCTGCAGTAGAACACAGTTTAATAAACTGATCAATTCAGTGTTTCCCACAGATCTGAAATACTTGTGGTGAGGGGGGTCATGTAGTGACTTGGTACGACCAACAAGAAATATGTGTGAATGTTACCACAACATTTGCATTCATTTAATATTACTCAGTGACAAAGATGCAGTGACATATTGCTCTTACCATACTGGGACCTGCTGCCTCTGCTTCAGCTTCATTGACCACCGACTGGAATTGAGAAGTGTCCGTTCAATATCCACCGTGTCCGCGTCTTCTAAAGTAATACCATGCGTCTCCCTCTGTCCCTCTTTCTCTTCTCTTTTTCTGTTTGTCTTTGCGTGTTAGCAGAGCGTGGTACAGGGGAGCAAGTATAGAGAATAGTTAATCCATCGCAGATGGCGTCATTCTGATGGATTAAAAAACATACAAAAATAAAATGTCAAAACGAGTTTGCAAATATACCTGGGTGGGCCGTCCAAGTATTTCTGTGTGTGGGAAAACCTGCAATTACAGAAAATTAATTCCCAGTTGTTTGTGATTATAGATTAATTGTAGTCATTTTTTAAAGCAAAAAATGCCAAACACTGTAGTTCCCAATCTTACTTGTGATGATTTGCAATATGAAGTCTTCATCTCAGGCTTTTAGAAATTGTGTTGGAAATTTTTTCCACATTTTTGACATTTTAAAAATTGAAGTGATTAATCGATTCAGCTAGAATATAGACATTAACGGATAATGAAAATAATTATAAGAAATATTATCAGAATGTCTGATAAAAAAAATTAAAAAATTTCATCTGATGCCTGAATTTCTCAGGCTAGTGTTGCTGGTAAAATACAGCTAAAATGTTCACTGGTAGCACACAGTATATACTCACTACTTCATCAGTTTGGGCAAAGAAAATTCTTGCTATAGGGGAATCATAGCTTACCCAATACTGCAGCTGCTGCAGCAGAAATCCACCTGATGATTAGAATTTTCTTCCTCTAATCGGGCTCCATGCTGGCCTCCATACTGGGATGTGGCCCATGCTCTCTGTTGATGCAGATAGAGGAGAGAGCAGCAGGAATAAGGTCATGTAATCCTAAATTACTGATGTATATGTACTCACAGGAATAGCATTGTGGACTGTTTAGCATCAACAGAACTATAGTGGCATCAGTTTCCCTTGAGCATTATTGACTGTCCCCCCGCCATAACTCTCTCTTTTCCAGGCCCAGAGGTACCAGGCACTGGTGGATGAGCTTCACCATAACTGCCTCCAGCTGAGCCTGGCTGAGCTCTATCATAATGAGAAGGGCATCAACGCTCTCAGCAACAACCTGAGGGAGAAACAGCAGGCTGCAGCTGCAAAAAACAGTAAATTGGTGAACTGGGAGCAGACGGTCAAAAGCCACAAGAAGGAACATGGACGCCTCACTAGAGAGCAGCAGCACATTGAGAAGGAGATCTGGTGTGTTTTTGTGTGTGGGAGAGTTTTGTAAGAAGGGTTTTGTATTTGTTGACCTTATTTTTAGGGGCATTTCTCTGTGAAAAATTATTTTATTTTCAGATTTCACTTGTAAGTGTACTGTAACTGTAAGGACATGTAATAGGCAAGCCTTTGATTCAAACTGACATTATGTACAAATAGAGAGGTGGCATATGCCATCAAGTTTGCCATTGACTAGAATTAACCCAAGCCTCCTCTAACTCTACCACCCAGTTCCCAGGAGCACATCCTATCCCAGACTCGGTCCCAGTACATCAAAGCCAAGGTAAACACATCCCACCACAGGAAGAAGGCTGAGGAGGTCCGTAATGCCCTGAAGAAGAGTCAGAAGCTGTTTGCCATTAAAAACCAGGAGCTGGCAGAGGGTCGGCAGGAGATTGCTGAACTGGAGAGGACCTGGAGGAACTATGAGAAGCAACAACAGCAACAGGCAGCCTCCCGTGGGAGGGACATTGAACTGGAAGAGGATCAGGTGAGTGTGTATATTTTATTTGATCACTGATTTCTTCACAGTTAATGCTATTTTTTGCCACATATATTTTCACAAGATAGAAAATGAACTTCCGTGTTTAAATAAAAGTCAGTTTCTTTTCATTTTTTTCATGTTCTTGTCACGTTTTTTGGGGTTTTTTTTATCTTAATTGGTATTAAATAACAGATAGCTTAGTCGAGCAGCTAGCTTGAAAGCACTGCGGACAAATAAGCAAAAAAGTGACATTGTTGTAATGTCCTTATCATGTTTTTGCATGTATTTCTGCTACAGTTAGAGCAATACAAAGAGCTGAAGGAGCTGGCCCGAAAGCAGGGGGCGGTCCTCAGTCAGCAGGCAGAGAAATTGCACTGGGAAGTGAGAGCAGACTACGAAAAGTTAGCTTTCGACCAGCGCAGAAAGAAGGAAGTGGAGGTACTGTAGGAGACACATTTCTGTTCATAAATACTCACAGACTGAACAGCTGGTGAAAAAAATTACACGTTTCACACTACTGAATCTGATGAATATATCCTTAATTATACCACACTTGTAACATTGTCTGCTGTAGGTCGGCATCAGGAACACCCAGAGTCAGCTGGAAGATTTGACACGTAGAGCAGAGAAGCTGGAGGAGTACACCAAGACATGCACGTATGTTGTGTAAACTCCTATTACTTCATGCCAGCTAGTGAAAACCTGTCAGACTCTCCCTGACTGACTTATCAGTGACAAATGAAATACTTTGACATTAGGATGTAATCACAGAAGGAAACTGAGTGTATGTTATATAAGCGGTATGTCTCTCAGGTCATCCCTCGAGGAGTACCGACAGCAGGAGCAGAGTCTGAATGCAGAGCTGCAACGGGGCCGCCAGCGCAGCGAGGAGGTGAACCAGGAGCTGAGTCAAGTGCTGGAGGAGCTGGGTAGCGCCCGCGTGGACAGCCAGGAGAGCAGACGCCAGCTGCAGCGCAAAGAGCTGCTAGAGAGGCTCCGCAGATTCTACCCTGACACTGTGGTAAGAGACAGACAGGCATTAGGAGGAGAAATTATAACATTCAAGCCTAAATTTAGTTTTTTGAAAGCTGGCAATCCCTATAAATAAAAAGAAACTCTGCATTTTCTGATCCTTTCATAAAAGTCATAAAGTCTGGCTGCATAATTTGAAAGAAATGTCAGCCAATTGTTTGGCAATATCATACATCAGTTTCTTCATTTAATCTGTGGAAATTCTGAAGTAGTTTTTTTACATTTCCTTTCCAGTATGGTCGTCTCTCTGACTTGTGCAGTCCCATCCATAAGAAGTACCAGCTGGCTGTCACCAAGGTGTTTGGCCGCTACATGAATGCTATTGTGGTGGCCACAGAAAAAGTGGCCCGCGACTGTATTTGTTTCATGAAGCAGGAGCGAGTCGAACCTGAAACCTTCCTACCTGTTGACTTCTTGGATGTAAGTTGAAACTGTTTCCAAAGTGAGTCCTGACTATTTTTGTGTGGTTGAAAATGGAAAACTTCAAGACAAGCTTTTGAATCCATGCAGAATTTGTTTCCCTTTGCAGAGTAGTACACATGCATACAGTACCTAGTGTCAATGATAACCATCACTCTTGTGTGCCCAGGTAAGTCCTCTGAATGAGCGACTGCGGCAGGTGCCGGGTGCCAAGATGGTGGTGGATGTTGTCCAGGGTAATACTGCCACAGGTGCCACCCAGCTGAGAAGAGTGGTTCAGTTTGTCTGTGGCAACACCTTGGTGTGTGAGACAATCAAAGAAGCTCGGAGTGTGGCCTTTGACAGGCAGGAGCGCCTTAAGGTAAGTTCAGTCATGCACGTAACAACAAAAGTACAACACATTTTATTTGGTTCAGTCACGTTTTGAGTGTCTGTCCATCTCCATTAATTATACCTGACAATATATTGAAATATACATTGAACAACATCTTACTAAATTGATTACTACACAAACAAAAAAGAGAAGGAAAGTCGCATACAGCTACCTAAGTGAAACTCCCACTGACTGACTGGTAAAAATACAAACTATAAGTAAGAGGGAACACTACAGGCTAAACAGGCCTTTCTAGTATTACAAAATAGAGCCTTTAATTAATAACTTACTTGCTAACATGTTGGCCTTTTCTGGCAGCAGATATTTTAATCTTAAGTGTTTCCTGTAGACCGTATCGCTGGACGGGACACTGTTTGCAAGGTCAGGTGTGATCTCTGGAGGCTCCAGTGACCTGTGGAACAAAGCCCGCTGCTGGGATGAGAAGGACATGACACGGCTGAGGGAACGCAAGGAACAACTGACAGCTGAGCTGCGCGTGAGTCACATGATCTAAGCAGCAGTAACCAAAAGACTTTAATCATTTTGGTTGATTTCCATTACTCTATACAGATAGAAGAGTTAATTCCCAGTAAACAGTCCTGCTGTGTTTTTTATGACAGGATCTGATGAGGCTGAAGCGGAAGGAGTCAGACCTGAAACAGATCGTTGCTCAGGCTCAGGGTGCACAGACCCGCCTCAAATACTCAAAAACTGAGCTGGAAAACCTTCGGAAAACAACCATCCTCAAATGCCAAGCGGTATAGTTCTTTAAAAAAAGGCTCATTTACTTTTCCTTACTGTGTGTGTATGTGTAAACCAATGCCACAGATGTATCACTATCACTTTTACTATTAATGTCACTAACATTGAATAACAAAGCAAATTATTAGTACAAGGATATGTCATGACAACACTGGAGCAGTTTCAGATTTACAGTATTTATTGTTCCTTGTCCGTGTCTGGCTGTGGTTTTCAGGAGATTTCTCGTATGGAGAGTGAACTAGCAAACCTGGACTCTCAGATCCAGATGCAGCAGGAAAGTGTTAAGGACGCAGAGATGAAGAAGATCAGAGACCAGATTGACCAGGTATGTCTGTCTACAGAGCTTAACATCCTGTTCACGCATGTTGATTCTGACTGCAGTTTATTATTGCAATAATTTCTTAGTCTCAGTCTTTTCTTGTATTAATGTGATGATAAAAAAGCCTAATAATTAAACAATTTCATTGAATAAACCTGATAATTATATAATGCCTCAACACATTGTTATGAGTTGGCATCATTTCCATAGGTCATTACAGTAGGTGTTAAAAAAGGCATTGTTGCCCCTATGTCTCTTTGACTCCAAATTCAAAATGATTTTTCAGCTGTTGAATAAGAGTATTTCACTGGCCCCCTGCTCTTTTGGCCAGAGGACAACTTTAACAGCCAAATCCTTCACCAGCCCCAGTCTTGTGGTTGGTTACAGTGTATATGCTTAATGGTGTAGATTATCTGTGTATCCAGATAGAGGACGTGGTGTTTTCTGACTTCTGTGCTGAGATCGGTGTGGACAGCATCCGCGAGTATGAGCAGGAGCACCTGAAACTGCAGACAGAGCTTGACGAGAAACAGTATGACAACCACACACCAGTATTTTCTCTGTCACGTGTGCTAAACTCAACCTGCCAAACCTCTGATGAATATTTTATGACAAATGCCTTAATGGTGGATTAGCTTTTAAAAAATTAGGTACAAAGCTTTCCAATATTATATTTTAAAATTTAGGATGTTTACAAATAATTGGCATGAAAATGATGATAGAAAATGTTTTAGTTGGTCCTTTTAATACAATTACAAGTCTCTAGTCACCAACTGTGTGTAATACAGTAAAATTCAGTTCAAGTTCCTTGTCAGTTTTCTTTTTTCTATAGGAATCTTCATTTTATTGTGTTTTAATGTAATTCTATGTGATTTTCTAAAATACAATTACAACAAACATGCATTTCAGTTTTGTCCATGTTTTTCATACTTACTAACGTTGTACAGTTACAGTATTTGTCCGGCATGTCTGCAGGCTCTCATGTATTTTGCAGCATTAAGACCTTGATGCATCATACATCTCTCTCTTCAGGCTGGAGTTTGAGAGTCAGTCTGCTCGTCTGAATGCTCAGCTTGAGTATGAGCAAGAGCAACTGAAGCAGCAGAAGAAGAAGATCCACAAAATGGAGGAGACCATCAACAAGGAGGAGAGAACCATGGCAGAACAGACGAGGGTAATGATCTCAGGCTTTCCATTCAGTGTTAATGTTTATATACAGCAGTTTACTTGTTAGACGACCTCTTGTAGCGTGGCAGTGGGTCAAATGCTTTGCAGAATGACAGGTTTAGTTTCAAAACAGCATAGCAAAAATGATTAGCCACCTCCCCCTGGAATATTAATCCCTTTCCAGATCTGTAATTAAGGGTTTAGTAGACACTTCTTGGATGTTGCATGGCACACTCTGGCTGAGATCAAACTTTTGGCCATTGCATGTTTCTATTCCCCTGCAGGATGAGGAGAAGCTGCTGGTGGCAGTGGAGGAAGTTCAGAACAAACTGATGGAGCTGAAGAACCAGCTGCTCTCTAAGAAGAGCCAAGTGACCGATGCCAAAGCTGAGCTGGACCAGAAAATTCACAGCCTTCAAGAGATCAACAAGTAATACTGCAAACTAACATCACTAGTGCTGTGGCTACTGTTATTGTGCTGCTGCTACTACTGCCATTACTATTAATACTGCAACTGCTGCTTTTGCAAAGGTTTTCCTTCTGACGGGTGCATGCAGTATACTGTACGGGAGGGCGACCTGGCCAAAAGACCCTATAACAATCTGTTTAGGTAGCATCACGATCCACGATCTGCATCATGAGTCTTACCACAGATTTAGTTGACCTTACAATCACTATGACTGGTTGTGCATATAGTTGCCTAGACAAAAAGGCTGTCACTTCAACTCAAAGGCCCATCTCACAAATCTCTGCATCCTGTTTCTGCTCTGACTTTATTCTGAAAGTGCTGACCAGAAGTTGTGCTCCGTATCTTTCTGCCGCTTTGAAGATTCTTTTTGATGTTTGTCTGCTCGCCACTAAACTTCCCCCTCAATGCTGTCTTCTGTTTACAAATTGTGTCACAACCAGTCACACTTTTTGCTTAGTTCATGTGGAATATTCGTTTGGACACCGTTGTTATTTGGCTTCTCCCCAGGCTCGTCCTGCCTTGTGTTTCCCTGCATGCAGGCAGGCAGGCAGGCAGGTCTCTCTACTGCAGATGGACGGCAACTCCAGGCTTTGCCTCAACCGGTTGGGTTCAGAGGAGAAAGGGGGGGTGGGGGAGGAGAGAGAGAGACACTATGAACAGCAGTGTATACTGTTGATTGTTAAATGTAACTGAACATAGTTATGCCCAGAAGTAAACAATCTATAACCATCACCAATAGGTAAAAGAAGAATAAATGGCGTTGGTCTTGGATAGAGGAGGTGGGTAGAGACGGAAAGCCCTTTGGAAGCTGGTGTCAAAAACTCCGGCAACCAGGAGCATGTTTCTGCACTTTGTGTGCAAGGAAAATATTATATGGAACTAGCAGGAAAAAGTGCTGCCACGGCATGAGTTCGACGCTAGTCATCAAGCAGCTTTACGAGCAATTCAACATACCTCACGTTTGCCGGGGGCAACAGCCACAGCAGATATCCGACCCTCAATGACCGATCGCGTGGCTGATTTAAAAATTCGCTTGTGCTCCTTCATTGCCGAGTATGATCTATCATTTACAATCGCTCATCCACTCGTCACTTTGTGTCAGAAATTAGCGGAGGATAAACTCGCCCTTACGCATCTGTCTGTCTGGAGGCAGCATGCAAGCTATCTTATTACACACAGCATCTCACCAGTATTTAAAAGAAATCTGTGACAAGCTTGAGAATAACATGTTTTCACTCAACATTGATGAGGCCACGGACAAAAGCATGGATAAAATTCTAAATATACTTGTCCGATTTTATGACGAGGATGCAGGCAGTGTGAAAAGTGTGGTTAGTGAGGTCCCCCCTCCATTGTAAAAGCACTTTGGGTATCTTGAAAAGCGCTATATAAATCCAATGTTCATTCATTCATTCATTCAATTCCTAGTTTACTTTTGAGTATTATAATTGTCACCCACTGACCTTTCTTGGTATGGCTGTAGTATCCGTAGTCTCAGTATGCTATACAAGCAATAAGTACGCACGTAAGTGACTAGTTAAAAGCAGGGATGGATTACTGAACAGGCCTACCAGGCCCATGCAGGGTCCCAAGAGCTCTGGTGCTCTACACAAAGATGCTACTGTAATATAGGCTTGTATTGGGTTTGTTCATCTCATGTCTGAATAATGTACATTTGTATCCACAAAAGTCATCAGAATATTTAATTCAATGGACTATTTATCAAAATGTCCCAGGGGAGCACACCCCTGGATCCTGCTTGACAATTGCGTTGATGAGGGCATATATCTTAGCCTCGGGGCCCGCTTACCTCCCAGGGAAAAAAGTTCAGGCTCAGGATTTTTTTTTACTATCACCCCTGCATTAGTATTTGTAAAAACATAACTTTAAAGCAACCACGTTTTCAATTATGACGAGTTATGACATTTTTTTTTTTTTTTATACAATTTTGCATCTGCAATGTGATGAGTTTCTGGTTGAAACATGATATTAGCGCGGGGTGTAACACAGGCTGGTACTGATAAAAAGTGGGAGGGTATTAATGATTTTTTTTGCTGACACAAAATATTTTATAAATAATTTGATAATTATAAATAAGATCAGAACAAAGTACCAAACTTTTTTCTGTCTCTCTTTCTCTCAGAGAGTTGGTGAAGCTTCAGCGGGAGGTGATGACTGCAGAGACAGCTTTGGAGCAGAAACGCCTGGCCAAACACAACTTACTGCTGGCCTGTAAGATCCAGAGTCTGCCCATCACTCTGCTGTCAGGGAGCCTGAATGAAATCAGTGAAGTGCAGGTAGGGGGAAGAAGTCTGTTTTGACAACTGATGGTTCTTTGTCTCTTCTGATGTCATTCCAACCACAGCGCTGTGCAGTTTTGGAAATGTCCTGAATGTTAATTTTAGCTGAAATGATCATATTTTGAATTTAATAAAAGACGCAGTAGCAATCCTCATATTATGACGCAATGAAGACTAAGACACCTTACTGAGTTTTAGGAAACCAAAAGAGTAATGAAAGGACTTTAAGTGTCATTGTTACCTAATGACTGATGTTTGTGGTTTGTGCAGCTGGACACAGAATCGGAAAGCACTTCAGCCACCATGGACATCTACGAGAGAGAGGCACAGCTAGTCATTGATTACTCTGAACTGGAGGCAGAGTTCAGGGTGAGACATTAAGCTTCATCATTATCCTAATCCTCTCTCAGTGCTGTTTATTCATATGACCAGCAGGTACCAAAACATTTGCAAAGCACTTTCATTCACTGTATATTTCTTTACACAGAGTCTGCAGGGAGAGGAGGAGGTGGAGGCTTACCTAGAGAAGCTGAAGGAGTCTGTGTCATCCACTGAGGAAGTGCTGCATCGCACCACTGTCCCCAATCTGAAAGCTCTGGAAAAGATGAGGGAGGTGAAGGACAAGTTACAGGGAGTGACAGAAGGTATTTCATTTTTCATCTATCAAGGTTTAATTTCAAAATTAAATGCTTGATAGGTGGAATACAACTACTATAATCTCTGCAAAAAATGTTTGCCAATCAAAACCACTTATTTGATATATTTAAGGTTTTATTCCCACATGGGATTTCTACTTGTTGTAATGATAATACCGAGTATGATAACTGAAGTAACTGAATTTCCTCCCTCTCACTCAGCCTTTGATGCCAGCACCAAATTAGCCAGGAAGTGCAGTCAGGAGTTTGAGCAAGTCAAAGCCCGGCGCTTTCACCTCTTCAGCCAGTGCTTTGAGCATGTGTCTGTCGTCATTGACCAGATCTATAAAAGAATTTGCAGAAATAGCAGCGCTCAGGTGAAGCACAAAACCCTCAATCTCAGAAACACACATACAAGTTTTTCTGCTTTTATTGTACTTATCTGCATTTTTTTCCCTTCCCCACTGTCATGTATGTAAAAAGTTCTGTTAACATAAGCCTTACTCAACTTTACTTGACTAACTTGTTTGGCCTAATAACCAACCAGTAGGTTATGTGTGCACTTCATACTGAACATTGAACAGGCAGTGTTGAGTTCAGCTAAGCATAAACTGTGTGAACAATACATAATTCTCAGTAATACTGGACATTGCACATGGTGTTAAAGAGTATCTGCAGGTATTGATAAGACTTAAAAAGTATTGATTTCAGTTTCCTCAAAAAGGCCTGAGGCAGTATATGGTATTCAATTGAACTTATTAAATATTCTTAAATATTTTTCTAGCTTGTTGGCAGTAGCATTACTTACTCAGTCCAGATCTCATCATCCCCACTGGTTTTCATTTACATTTTCATAATTTAGCCATGAAACAGTTACATGAAACAGACAAGATGAAGTTCCGATAAAAGAAATTAAAAGAGACTGTGTATGTGTTCCAGGCCATTCTGAGTGCAGACAATACAGATGAGCCATACCTCGGAGGAATTAACTATAACTGTGTGGCGCCGGGGAAACGCTACATGTCAATGGACAATCTGTCTGGTGGAGAAAAGGCCATTGCTGCTCTGGCCCTGGTATTTGCCATCCACAGGTAATACTGGAAGCTCCATACAACATTTTACATTACATTAAATCACAATACAGCACATTATAAAAGGTGAAGATGGAAAATTACAGAAAATGAGATAAAGAAATCACATAGAAATTGCTGTAATAGCGCCACATAATGAGTAGAATAATCATAAAAACTTGTCTTTAATGACAGATTAACATGTTACCATCCTGTTTCCCAAAATAATTTAACAAAATCAGTGTTTCCTCAGCCTAAACTGTGAGCTGGACAGCTGGATAATTACCCCCAACAGAAGTTCAGAACAAAACAAAACAAAACAAAAGGAATTGCTGCACAGCTGTTGACACACCATGAAATATCTTTCAGAAACTTTAATTTCTTCTTGGGGGAAAAAATAACAGTTGGCTGGGGGTACTTAGCTTGTAATGAACATGAGACTTTAAACTGATGAATGGACTAATAAAGGCTTTGTAATGTGGAGAGCCTTTTGATCCTGTCCTCTTTCACATCGTCAACTTTATGCAAAAAACTCTCCTCTAAAGAGACACTTGACATCTCCCGAGTCCCATTCTGCTGCTGCTATTTTCTTATTTTCTTTTGTACTGAAATAATTGTTCTTCGTTAAAGATTTTTTTTTTAACCTCTTTTGACTGATAATTTCCTACTGAAGCACTCGACCCACATTTTGTAATACTCATTGCATTAGCAGGGCTGATAGCGCTCCGGCGCCACACCAGATTCCCGGCGTACCGAGGTGTTTGCGAAAAAAAAAAAAAATCAGGTTCACGTTTGTGTTTCCCATACACTACGAATGTGTTTCCCACACTGGCAGCGCGAAACATAGCCGAAGTCAGTGCAACTTTATGAAGCCAGGGGAAGACACCAAACTTGTCAATAAAGGTATAAAGATAGAGGAGGTGGGTAGAGACGGAAAGCCCTTTGGAAGCTGGTGTCAAAAACTCCGGCAACCAGGAGCATGTTTCTGCACTTTGTGTGCAAGGAAAATATTATATGGAACTAGCAGGAAAAAGTGCTGCCACAGCACGAGTTCGACGCTAGTCATCAAGCAGCTTTACGAGCAATTCAACATACCTCACGTTTGCCGGGGGCAACAGCCACAGCAGATATCCGACCCTCAATGACCGATCGCGTGGCTGATTTAAAAATTCGCTTGTGCTCCTTCATTGCCGAGTATGATCTATCATTTACAATCGCTCATCCACTCGTCACTTTGTGTCAGAAATTAGCGGAGGATAAACTCGCCCTTACGCATCTGTCTGTCTCGAGGCAGCATGCAAGCTATCTTATTACACACGGCATCTCACCAGAATTTAAAAGAAATCTGTGACAAGCTTGAGAATAACATGTTTTCACTCAACATTGATGAGGCCACGGACAAAAGCATGGATAAAATTCTAAATGTACTTGTCCGATTTTATGACGAGGATGCAGGCAGTGTGAAAAGTGTGGTTAGTGAGGTCCCCCCTCCATTGTAAAAGCGCTTTGGGTATCTTGAAAAGCGCTATATAAATCCAATGTTCATTCATTCATTCATTCAATTCCTAGTTTACTTTTGAGTATTATAATTGTCACACACTGACCTTTCTTGGTATGGCTGTAGTATCCGTAGTCTCAGTATGCTATACAAGCAATAAGTACGCACGTAAGTGACTAGTTAAAAGCAGGGATGGATTACTGAACAGGCCTACCAGGCCCATGCAGGGTCCCAAGAGCTCTGGTGCTCTACACAAAGATGCTACTGTAATATAGGCTTGTATTGGGTTTGTTCATCTCATGTCTGAATAATGTACATTTGTATCCACAAAAGTCATCAGAATATTTGTGAATAAATGTGCCAGGGGAGCACACCCCTGGATCCCGCTTGACAATTGCGTTGATCGGGGCATATATCTTAGCTTCGGGCCCCACTTACCTCCCAGGGAAAAAAGTTCAGGCTCAGGATTTTTTTTTACTATCACCCCTGCATTAGTTATCTATCATCGATAAGCTGTGGCTCTGACATTATCAATGTGACTGGTTGAGTGTATCTGTTCTGCTTGGCACGCTGGTGTTTGTGTCATTTCTCTCAGCTTCCGACCTGCTCCTTTCTTCGTCCTGGATGAAGTGGACGCAGCCTTGGACAACACCAACATCAGCAAGGTAAGTTTCCAGCTGCATCCAGCTGGTCTACTACCTGCTTAGCGCCAAACAGCAGCCAGACACAGTTAGTGACTAGCTGGTGAACATAGTGCAGCTAAAATTGGTCTGTAACAGCTGGATTTGCAAAGCAAAGATTTGTAAAGAACTGTTGGCTACAACAACCTCATGATATATCAACCTAAAAAGTGATGATATGTTAATGTTGTGTTCACAATTTGGTCCTGCTGCCCCAAAGTGGCCAAAACCATCTGTTAGTACAGGTTTAACTAATTTATCATTCAAAATGCCAATACACTTTGATTCCATGCTGTCCAACGTGTGGATTTACTACTTTTCTCTGTTTTATATCATCTTTGGGTTTTGGACGGTTGATAGGATAAAACCAGTATCACCTTGAGTTAAGGGAGGTTGTGATGAGGATTTTCACTTTTTCTGATATTTTATACACTAAAAATAACATCCATATATGCTATTAATAGATATAGATTTATTTGTGTGTCAGAGCAGTTAGTGCTCTTTGGCTTTCTGGCAACATAGTTTGTGAGATGAAATCAATTTCACTTGCAAGGGAAACTGTGTTGGACATAAAAGTCACAGCTCAAGGAACATAAAAACATGTCCAAACAGTATAATGTCATACATGTAGTTGTTAAAGTGTTATATTAGGTTTTGTGTGTTCAGCTTTGCGCTACTATCCTATTATCTTATGTTCATGGATTGCATTTGTACATATCTTGTGTGGGTGTTTTGTTTGCATCCAGGTGACCAGTTTCATCAGGGAGGAGTCCAGAGAGAACATGCAGATCATTGTCATCTCCCTGAAAGAGGAGTTTTTCTCCAAGGCAGACGCTTTGCTGGGAGTCTACTCAGATGTAACAAATGTTTATGATAAGTTGGAAGTTGTAGAGGAACTCTTAATTTCTGTATTACATGACAATGCAGTTACTATATTGTTTGCGTCTTCCTCACAGTTTGATGAGCACATGTTCAGCGGCATCCTAACCCTGGACCTGCGACTCTACCCTCTGGCTGAAGAAGACGGGGAAGATGGGAAACAGACTCACACGGAGAATAGAGTGGACAAAAGACAGGATTCTTGTAGCTAGTGGTCACTTGTGTGAAGCAACTGTTGTGTTTCTCTTGCCTTTATTTTCATTGGCCGCATCAGTTCTAAGTGTTTGTAGCTTTTGACTAGATATAAAGGCAAAGTAGCTAAAGTAGTATTTCATTGAATCAGTTTACTGGGGTAACAGTTTAAATCAGTTTAAATTGAGCATTTGTTGTTTATCCTCTAGGATGTTCCATGTCATTCCAATGTGATAAATTTCAAGGTATTGAGCATTTGATTGGATTTCTGAGCTGCCTTATCAGCAGGTTGTATGTTAACATTAACCCACATGTACACGCAAATTTGGTCAATAACAAGACTGAGAGGTGACAAGGGAAGAATAAACGAGCAATGATGGAACTTAAATACAGTGGTGCTTAAATGTTAATGGTTGTTGTTTATCCTCTAGGATGTTCCATGTCATTCCAATGTGATAAATGTTAGTATATATTACTATCTTGTTTCAGTAATGTTTCTTAAATTGTTTTGTATTTGAGTTATGCTTTTCAGCTTGACTTGTGTCCTATTCATTAAATCTACAGAGGTGAAGACGCTGTGTGGTCTTTTTTTGATGTATATTATTTTCTCGAGGTGTAAGCCAGTCACAAAGTCACACACCAAGTGTGGATGGATTATGAGACAAAGGGCTAATGAGCATAGATGAGTAAGAGGACCTCCCACCCCTCATATGTAGGACCCCTAAACAGAAAGAGATTGCGTTATTTGGCGTTCTGTGTCCCCTTGTGGTCTTTAAGGGTCTCAGCGTGGTCATTCTGTGTGTCTGGTTGTTTTGTGTTTCTTTGTGGTTGGGTGTGAGTTGTGATAGTCTTGTGTCTCTTTGAGGTCTTCAAGGGTCTATGTGGTCATTTATTGACTGGTCATTTTTTTAATCTCTGTGCTTGTGTCTCTGTTGCCATTTTGTGTCTCTGGTTTTGTGTCTGTAGTTTTTAAAGATTTGTTGTGGTCATTTGTGTCATTTTATGTCTCGTGAGTATTTTATGTCTGTGGTTTTGTGGTCGTTTTGTATCTTGGAATTTTTTTGTCTGTGCAGTCTTTTAACTGAGTTTTGTGACTTTCAAACAATTAATATGAACAGTAACTTCATACAGAGGCTCTGGTCCAGGAGACCTGTGGACCTGTCCAGTAGTCCATACGTGGGTCCAGGCCATCATTATTTTTGTATACAGCTGGGAAGTACTGGCAAAAACATGATAGGAAGGTCAACAAATTAATGTACTTAAACTGCATTCAGTGCGGTATTAAAAGGTCGTAAAAGTCGTAAATTTAATTTAACGCTGCAGAAACCCTGTTGTTTGTGAGGCCTCAGCAACAGCAGCAGGGGGCGGTAATGTTTTGGTCTGGATCCTGGATACAAGCAAAGGTCAGACCCCGTGATCAATATTTACGGAAGTGTTGCCTCGTCGTGAACTAAAGCCAGTCATTCCTGTTGTGTCATATAACGTTAATACAAAGATTGGTTAATTATTTAAACTACGTGGGTGTCAATAATCGCCGGGGTTATGACTCAGTTGTCTTAAATAAACGTTTAGTAGCCGGTTAGCTAGTAAACTGTAGCGGTAACAGTTGGTACCTAACCGTTAGCTGACATAGCTAGCATTGAAATCGTACAGCAGCCAACCCTGGCTTTCATTTCCTCTCCTATCGATATGGTAGCCTCGTTGTCAGCGCGAACGTGTTTGGAGGTCCTGTGAAGTCTGTGTAGGCGGTCTATCATCAACATATTCGTGGTCAATTCGCTGCATTTTCTGGAAACATTGACGGAAGTGCTAGCTTGCTAGCCCGACGTTAGCACCATGGGAGCTGAGCAGAGCGGAGAAGCGGAGCACAAACACTCCGATTACAGCTCATCAGGTAAGACTATCCTCTACAACTTAAAAGAAAAAACTTAACATTCAGCGGTTTACTTGGTTTCTGCATAGGTAAACCAAGGTTTATTGCGGTATTGCTGTAAAGTGACAGTCCAACATTGTCACTGGTATTTATGGAAAGTAAGGTAAAAATAAAGTTACTGCAGTACTGTGAGTATTTCCGTACTTGAGTATTCACATTTTATCCTCAAGTTTCACTCCTACTTCACTACACCTTAAAGTGAGATGTATTTCTTACTACATCTGCGCTACATTTAGTTGGCAGACACAGATTCCAGTTACTTTCTGCATAATGAAATTATTATAATCTTCTAACATGTTAATACTTCATTAAATGTAACAGGTTTCCCCAACTGCACCATCTGCAAAATTAATGTTTTTGACACCGTCTGTGTATATTTCTGTGTGGGGCTGTAACTAACATTAATTTTAAATATAAATTAACCTGTAGATTATTTTCTTGATTAATCAGTCAGTAATTTGGTCAAGAAAATGTCCATCATAATTTCCCAAAGCCCAGTATGGTTTCTTCAAATGTCATGTTTTTCCTTATAAACAGTATGAAACTCAATATATTGAGTTAACTTTTATAGAAGACTCAGGAAACCAGATTAAAAAGGTGAAACGGGAAAATTTTGTCACCTTTTCTTTAAAAGAAAAAGAAAATGACACAGAAACTATTAACTAATAGTTGCCAATTATTTTTCTGTCAATCAACTAATTGATTAATTGACTAATCATTGCAGCTCTACTTCTATACTTTTACTTTCATTAGCTTTTGGATATTGTGTTTTTACTTGTAATAAGAGTATTTTTACATTGTGCCATTTCTTCTTTTACCTGTATGGATGGATCAGTGTAAACCATAGTACTCGTTATAAGTAATTTTTGCCTGTTTATATTACCAGAAATATTGTCGTTGCAGTGGTGCCATCTCCAGCTAAGCAGAAGGCAAAGATGGATGATATTGTGGTTGTGGCCCAGGGGACCCAGTCTATGCGGAATATCCACAATGACCCAGATGTCATAAAGCTTCAAGAAATACCCACCTTCCAGCCACTTTTGAAAGGTACCATTTAATTTCCCCAGTTGTTGACAACAATTTTAGTGTCATCTTTGAGACAGTTTGTTAGGTACACCTATCCAAAACTAATAAAATCGAATACAATTTACAGTTACAATACAATTTTAATATCAAGTTTTTGTGGTTGTTTTGGAGAGAATAGTCTCAACAAAACCTGTTCAATTTAACCTCTATGAAGATAGGATAAATTGCAGGGGTGTAGACTGCCCTAGTTGTAGCTACATGTACCTGATAAACGGATAACCAAGCATGAATCTTACAACAACACACTTCAGTCCATAAGTGCTCACCCTCACCCACAGCAGAAATCCCATATTCTCTGGCAGGTATTGTATGCTTTAAGATAAAATATGTACATTTATGAAGCCCAAGAAATGTTTATTGACTTGATTGAAATATTACTCTGATGAATTAGATTTATGAAGAGCATAGGTGTGCTGAGTACAGTGTGCAGATCTTTTGTCTGACTTCTACCATTTCAGTTTTCACATGAAGGCGCTGACAGTTTCATCTTATTTGCAACCAGTCCCCACAGGTCCTTTTTCAAATTCTGTGTAGTGAAGCTAATTGTCACTGCAACTCATTAGCACTGTGTTAGAAGGTGGATAATGAGCCAAGTTTCCTGTGTTGGCACACTCCTGAAATAGCAGGAAGGGTAGTTCTGTCAGATCCTGTGCGAATTACAATAATTGCCTAGTGTTATGCTCTTGTCAAGTGTTACTCTGTTCCGACAAGTCCATGCAAGTCCTTTGCACTTCTCTCTGCACAGGAGTGCTGAGTGGCCAGACGTCACCCAGCAGTGTGTGTCTGGAAAGGCTGGATGCTGCTCAGGTTCTGCAGCTCTGCATCCGGTACCAGGACCACCTACACCAGTGTGCTGAGGCCGTAGCCTTTGACCAGAACGCCCTGGTCAAGAGGATCAAAGAGGTAAGAATACCGTAGAACAGCAATGGATATTTAGTCTACAGGCTGTATAACTGTTCGGTCCAAAAACAACAATGTAACTATATTTTTGTTCCTTATGGAATGGACAGGATTAATGCCAACATGGTAAGGAAATATGTAAACTACTAGTATCAGCATGTTTTTATTTCCACAGTCATCTACAGTCTACGGGAAATTGACGACAAGTTGCATAATTGATTCAAAATTAAAGTAATTCATTAAGCGAAAGTGCCAAATATTCACATATTCCAGTTTCTTAGATGTGAGATTTGCTGCTTCTCTTTGTTTTATAGAATTGTAAATTACATTTCTATCAAGGTTATGGAGTGTTACTAGACAAGAAATGTAACTTGAAGACATCATAGAGATTCAGGAAAACTATTGGACATTTTTCACCTTTTTGACACTTTATAGACCCAATAATTGGTAAGTTAAAAACTAGTGAAAAATAATTATTTGAATGTCAGTAATGTAAGTAATCATTAAAGTCATATTCCACACATAACAAAAAAGCTGACAAATGTGGAGCTTAACTTTGATTACATGCTTGAATAATTTATTATTTGATAAAGACAGCTGCATTTGGAAAAGGCTTTGCTAAAACTTTACATATTTATAAGACACTTTTTTTTTCAATTACTTACATTTACAAACTTGTACTTGCCATTTTGTAACTTCAAAGTGTCATCAAAAGTCTCTGTCTCTCTCCCGTCTGTTTCTTTCCAGATGGACTTGTCAGTGGAAACCTTGTTCAGCATAATGCAGGAGCGCCAGAAGCGCTACGCAAAGTATGCGGAGCAGATCCAGAAGGTCAACGAGATGTCCATGATCCTGAGACGCATCCAGATGGGAATCGACCAGACGGTGCCACTGATGGAGCGCCTTAACAACATGCTGCCTGAAAGCGAGCGCCTGGAGCCCTTCAGCATGAGGCCTGATGGGGATTCTGCCACAAAGTAGCCTCCTGAAAACCAACACAGCTGCCTCCCACCCTAGTCTCCGTCCAGTCGTCTGTCCTGAAAGAAGTGCAGGTCTGTCCAGCTGTAGGAATACTAAGTCTTTACAAGAGTAGACAAAGTCTGAATGCATCAAAATGTTTTTTTTTCATAATAGAGGAGGAGCTCAGGTATAAATGTGTGAGACTGCTCTAGTCAGCTCTCTAGGCCATGATCGGTTCTTTTTATTATGTCATATAATGCAGGGTATGTTGCTGAACACACCTGCTCTTAATAAGCAACATCCTACTTACTATAACACTTCTAAACCACAAACACACATTACCACCTCAGTAAAGCCACACCCCTCTGCTTCTGGCCGCTGAGCACCTCTACTGGAGCAGGTGTGAACTTACAAAGTGCTGTGTTCAAGTGTTCATCAACTATAGAAGTGGAGGCGCTGGAGATTATTATTTCTCCCTTCCCTGCAGGGAATAAAATTAGCAAGTTTCCAGCCACAGGCTTTTTTTTTTCTGCTAATCTAAAGGCAGGGGTGGAACACATATGAAAGTGACAGAATGAACTCCATATGCCCTGAAAACTTGTCCTGCAGATGTGTTGCAGGTTTCAGAGACTCAAATGTGCGTGAGCAACATAAGAATATCTCAAAGTGTTTCGTGCTGCTCTCGAGATTTATGTACTCCTGTCAAAACATCAGAGCCACTTGAGAACTTGCAGTGGATTGGTTTTGGATCGTGCACTTCACATAACAAATATTTCTTGTTTGTGATCCTAATATTCATCTGACTCCCACGCCATATCCCTTGTTTACTGTTTGAAGATCCCTTCCAAGAACTGCTTGTATGCAGATTGACTGCTTTTAATTTTCTGAACTATATTGGTTTATCATTTTGGGATGTTGTGACGAAGAGACTCACGGAGAGTATGAAGAAGGATTATTGCCGTTGGATTACACACAGAGCATGGATGTTCTCTACATTGGAAGTAAAATGAGAAACCTCTTCTTGGACAATATTCTTAATGTTTTCATGAACATATGAACTCAATTCAACTTTGTCTGGGAGGAACTTGACTTTAATTTATTTGGATACTTTGCTTGAGCAGTTGTGTAAAGCCTTTTTGCATGCAAAACCGTGAAGAAAGGTTAAAAAAAGGGACTAAACAGACACTGCGATGCTTCAGTTCAGTACAGAAAATTGATGAAGGTATAAACATAACATTTTATGACAATACCCCACTTATCACACATCTCCGTTCAACCACGCTTTTTGATCATTGTACCAAATTTCAGCATTAACTTTGTATATTTGTTAGCTTTTCACAGTAATAGCCAAACATCACACATACCAAAGATTCACAAGTCCTCAAAGCTGTCAAATTATAAGTGGCACTTTAGAAACAGTGATATTTTGGTTCTTTTTGAGGACAGCGATCAAGTTAACTTCACTATTTCATCTGTTGAGTATTTGTTTATGTATCATCAAGTCATGCTCTTTAAGCTTAAAAATACCAACTTATTTCTCTCTCACCCTGACTGGTCTCTATTCATGCAGATAGGCTTGGTTGTATTGGCCACGGTGTAGAAATATCTTCTGCTGCCACCACATTACAATGGATATAAGTGGAATTTGATTTCTGGTGCTCACAGCATAAAAAAACAACAGCAGCATCTTTCTAGAAAGAAATGTCCCTGTTACTTGGGATAATCCACAAAACACACTGTTAATATATGTAGACTATGTAGAAATGTAACCGGGACACTGTTTCAAAGGCACACGACTGAATTGTTAAGTACAACTTTTTGATGCCAAGGGCACCACAAACAAAATTGAATTTACTAACTTTGTATTTGGTGGAAGCAGAAATCTCAAAGGCAGATGTTTTAGAAAATAAAATCAAAGCTGCTAAAGATAAATTAAAGAATGTTTGTTTTTTTTTCTCATTATGGTGAGCCAACCCTTTAACTACTTAATCACTGGTCAGTTTTCATTGTGGCAATAAAAAAACAAAACACTAAAACTGGTGTAATTGTTTCAGTGCGGGCTTGTGTAAGTCCACTGGGTGGTGCCAGAGTTAACCTAACACAGTCTGTGGCTTCTTGGATCATTTTTAAAGGTTAAATGTAAAAAAAAAAAAAACAGAGCTGTGTCAAAGAAATAATTGGAACTTGAGTGTCTGGTGTGGTTCTGCTCAACCACTGACTGTCCGAGGAATCAAACCTGTTACCTTGAATATGTTTAACTGCCTGATCACATGTTTTCATTTCCATTAGTTCTACTAGTGCTTCAGAAAGCCCTGTCTCATCAGAACATGTAATTGTATTCACATCCGCCGCCCTATACCACTAAAGAGATTGCGTTATCAAAGTAGTTAGTAAATTTCAAAGATTTCTTTTCCTTGGTAGCCCCCAACCCTAACCAGCTGAAACAGGCAATATTACACTGGGTGCAAAATTGGACAGTGATGGATATGTCTGTCCAACAACTAGCCAAAACCTGTTCATAAAGCAGAAAGTCTAGTTACTTTCAGTGCACAATCTGATCTAATTTTGTTTTCTTTTAGTTTTACCAGCGTCCCATCATCCCAGACCGTGTTGAGAGCTGAGATGTATCAGCATTTCTTTGAGTTCTTACAGTGACAAATCTTTGCTCTAGAGCTGCAACATTTAGTCGATTAATTGAATAGTTGATCAAAAGAAAGTTAATCAGCAACTATTTTGATATTCAGTTAATCTTTTTAATTGCAAAAAAAGAAAGTGAGGTTGTGATGGGTGCTTTTCCACAAATTTATTTATCAGCAGATTAATTGATCATGAAAATAATTGTTTGGTCGAGCCTTTCATCACTTGCTATGACATTCACCATTTCACTCACAAGCAGGAAAATGTATTGCATTACTATGACAACCAGCAGCCATGAGCTGTCATGTTGTTAGCTGTGACACGAATGCATAAATTAATTAACAAGGTTTTTAATAGGGTCATTTTGATATTTATCACTTATTTTTTCTGTTTTGATATGCTTGAAAACTCAACATGAAATATAGTTTATGTAAATGTACCTTGAATTATTTATTTATTTTTTATTTTTTTACTTCGTGAAATTGGCAAAACTTGTGGCACCCTTAGCCAGTCCTCAAAGCAACGTCTGTTGCTATGGCCACTTCTGGATCATACAAGAATTCCCTCTTATGAATCCCTATTTCTTGTGTTTTTACTTGGGTTAGCAACGTCATGGAAGCCTTCGGGGTCACAACATGTATTTACTGACCTCAAAGACCAAATCAGAATTAGGCATTGAAGTTTTTTGCCTAGAAATAGCTTTCAGCCAATGGTGAGTGGCTCCTCTCTGGATACAGCAGCACCGATGAGCCAGTGTAGTGTGATTAAACTGGTTGTGTGCGTTGTTAAATTTTTCATCAGTGTAAACATGCTGAACTCAATTACACCAACAAAAGGATCCTCCTACGGCTGGCCTGCTTTGAGGTACAGAATTAGCCTGGTTCATTGACATAAGGGACATAAGGCAGAGACAAGTTTTCTTTTGAATTTAAAGCAGAACTCCTTTGATATGTTATCGCCTTTCATGTGTAAATTAAAACGGTTGAGAAATGTCTTAAATGGCCTTGGGGGTTATTGTTTGAACATTGGAACAGAAATGGAAATTGTCATTGCATTCTGCGGCGAGGAGGTGTAAAAGTTCCTCAGAGTCTTTGTAATGAAGAATACCTCCTGACGCTCAGAGCTGGATATTAACGCCGCAAGATGATACAATACGATCTGCCACCAGGAAATTCATTCTCTGAAATGAAAGAGGAAATCCAATTTCCCCTGTATACTTCTCATTTGAATATAAATCAAAGGCTGGTTTGCACCCTCTTTCCTTCCTGTTTTGCCCACTCAAAATTGGAAACATGAAAATACGTTGAGGCTTCCTATCCCTGTCATCTGTTAGGGCGAAACGCAAACCAGCACTGGTTGTTTTCCTGTGATAAGAGTAGAACTCTGACTTCTCAGACAGCACCTCAGTGAAATGTGAAAAACATTCAGTGTAATCACTTTGCAGTTACATAATTCAAAGGCATAAATAGTACCTTTCACCTTGTTTGAGGTCTTATAATAGTAGAAAATATTTCATAGTGTGACTTTAAATTGCTTGGATCTGTAGCTGCAGCAATTAATAGCTTAGCTGATCAACAGATAATTAATCAGCAACTATTTTGATAATCAATTGACCATTTAAATCATTTTTAAAGTGAAACACATGCCCTTTTTCCAGCTTCTCATTTATGAAGAATTTATTTATCGTATATAATGAAAAAATCAGTTAATTATGTGATCAGCAGAAAAGTAAATTGCAACAATTTTGATAATTGATTTATTGATTCAGTAATTTTCAAGTAGTTCATTAAGGAAGCGCATTACTGACTGCAGCTTGTCTAGAGTGAGCTTTGACTTGGGAAATGTTGGTTGGACAAAAGAAGACATTAAAATACAAAAGGCTCTGGGAAACTGAAAAGGGAATTTTTCATATTTTTCATTTTCTTCTGATATTTTATAGACCAAATAATTGGAAATAATCAGCAGACTCACTGATGGGGAAAATAACAGCCTCATATGTGACTGTGCACTGAATATCTTTGGAATTTGGACTATGATGCCACGTGATGTACATACAGTATGTCATGAAGGTCTTTAGGAAGTTGTGATTTTGAGAAATTGTGATGTATTTCTTTACTATTTTTGGACAATTTATAGACCAAACGATCAATGAAAATAACTATTAGTTGCTGCCCTATTTTGATGAGAATCTGAGTAGTTATGTAAAAAGAAGTGTTTGACATTTTGTGAAAAGAGCTGATTCACATTCTTCCTGTGAGTTAGATGTGAAGACTGATCCCACTCTCATGTCTGCACACTAATTATGTAGTGACAGCCAGAAGCCAGTTAGTTAAGCTTAGCATAAAGACTGTAAACAGAGAGAAGGAACTGGCCTGGTTCTGTGCAGAGGTAACAAAATCCGCCTACCAGCACCTCTAAAGCTCACTCGTTAACAAGTTATATCTTTCTTGTTCAATCTGTACAAAAACCAAGGTGTAAAAATGAAAATTTGTTGTTTTACAAGCATGTGTCTCATTTTCCGTTATTGTGCCCAGGCAAAAAGAGTAAGCTGTTTCAGCCTGGGTTAGGTCAATGATTGATGAGCCTTATAGATTCAGATTTACTATCTAGCAAAATAATATTCTGCCAGTTTTTTTATTTCAAATTTCGGTTTTAAAATAGTTTTATATTCATTTTATTAATATAATTTTAAAGCAAATATGTTGGCAAAGATATTTGCTGTTTTCCTGCAGTAGATTTAGACACTCATATTACTGTATATTAATAGGATTACAGTCCTATTGTACATGTGCCCAAACCCCTCTGAGCAGGTTAAAACCATTTGGTCCCAGGACTGTTGTAAATACTGTACCAGTGAGTAGCTCAAGGAAAGGCGAGAGGTGTGCTGTAGATGATTGCCTGTATTGACTGTATTGACTTTCATCCTGTAAAATTACCCAGCACTGCTTTTCTATTTGACACCCAGTCAGCTCCTGTGATAAATACCCAGTGGACCCTCCCTCTTGAGTTGCAGCCAAACATTATCCCTCTTACTGGAGACATGAATTCATGTCAGACCAGATCTATCGGGGAACATTTAATAAAGCACTTTGTTGCTTCATTGCACAGTTGTGTTTTCAAGGACACTGAGCCGCTACAGCAGAGCAGGAGTGACATGTCCTTCCACTGAAATACCACCGCTCTAGTCGTGTTCAGGAGGATGACAGTATATCAACTGCCTGCCTATTAGAACATCTGGAGTGTGCTGTTTATTGTCTAGGTCGCATGCATACAGTGTAATGAGGAATATTTAAGATTTAGGCTTTCACCTGGAGGACCAGCTGTGGCCGTGCTCAGCTGTCTGGATGACTTCAGCTTTTACTTGAGGACACTTCAGCAACTCTTGGAGGATGGGATAGAAATGTCTCTTGTTATTCAGTTCGATCCTGTGCAAAAAATGAGTAAAGTTCTTAATATTTCTTTGCAAAAATATTTATCTACAGGGGTAAGAGCAAATATTTAATAATTTTTTAAATAAACATTTGAAACCCTTCAGAAAATATGTACATAGTATTTGTATTATTTTAATAGAGGTCCTTTAACTTTTACCCCCAATGCTGCGTCCATTCAGTATCAGACATTTAAAGTTCCCAGTTGATATTTCTGACCTTGACCTCTGTTCTCATGAAGACGGTTGAAAATTCAGAAAACTTGTAAATTGACCTCTGAACTTAGATTCTCTCTACTTGTGAACAGGGAAAGACACAGAGTTGCACGTGAATGAAAATCTAAAACATTAGATCAATTTGAAAACTATTTATGTAGAAATGTTAAATTAATGACACATAAAAAGATTCATAAAAATGTGTTTACACATAAAAAAGTAGGTGGTCAGGTTGCTGTTTTTCAGAAAAGTATTTCTTCTAGTTAAAAACTCTCAGGCCACTGTACAGCTCCAGTCAGTCTGGTTGAGTGTTAGAAACTATGATTTATGTGCCTTTGAGCATGCCGCTTTGCTCCCAGAAAAGTGACCAACAGCATAAAATCATTGCAGATGAGAGTATTGGCGAATGAATAATGTGTAACACATCCTTCCCCACAATTAACTTCCCAAGTCATTGGTGTAGATAAGAATGTGTTCTGGACTTGTCTGGATAAATAAAGGTTTAACAACAGTAATAAAAAGAAGAAATAAACCCAGGATAATGAAATTTTACACCAAAGAAAACACTGAAATTGGTGGAGAACTTGCCTTTGATCAAACGTGGTATGGTGAGAGACTCAGATGGTGATTCAGTGCCACCGGGGCTGCTGCCATGAAATCCGAGTGACAGCATCATGTCTCATCTGAGACAGCCTGTAGCCAAACAAACAGCAGCTCATTACAGCATCAGTTTGGATTGCCTGCTCTGAATAGGAGAGGTGACATTGGCTCATAATGTGGAGGATGGGAGGTGCGTGTGTGTATGTGTGTCGTGTGTGTGTGTGGTGTGTGTGTGTGTGTGTGTGTGTGTGTGTGTGTGTGTGTGTGTGTGTGTGTGTGTGTGTGTGTGTGTGTGTGTGTGTGTGTGTGTGTGTGTGTGCCGTTGCGCGCGCGTGTGTGTGTCGTCGCCTGTGTTGCGTGCGTGTGTGTGTGGGAGCAGTGTGGTGCCATAAATTGTTTAATGTTTCTTTACATCTCAGCAGACACAATGCCGAACCAAAGGTACTTGAACTTGTGAACCTTGTAAGAAGCTGCAGCCAAGCTATCCGTGTGGTTAGAGATGTGCTCCAGACATGTAAACTATAAAAAAAAAAAAAAAAGAGTATCACTGATGCTGACAAGTGCAGTGACCAAAGTGGTAGTGGGAAAGCTTCGTGCTGCCTCCTGCTGCGTATGATTTTTCCACTTAATTCCCTTCACAGTGTTAGTTTGAACATTTCCAGACCTTCCATCTATCCATTTTCCAGATGTCACAGCACATGTTTCCAGACCTTAAATGCTTCATTTGATTTTACGTGAGCAACTTGCAATTTGTGATTATTTTTATTATGAATTAATCAATAGCTTTTTGATTAGTGGCTCAAAAGAAGTGAAAATGTCCATTATCAAGGTGATGGCTAGAAATTTGTTGTTTTGTCTGATCCACCATCCAGAAAATAAAGATATTCTATTTACAATAATATACAATGGAAAAGCAGAGGTCAGAGCCAATTAATATTTTCCTTATGAAGGACTTAAACAATTGTTGGATAATTTTCTCTTGATCAATTAATGTAATTGTTACAGCCCAAACATCAGTTCACCCAGTAAGCTTGTTAATGTGTTCTTCACCTCAGTCAATACTGTTGCTGAAAAGGAGCCAATATCCCACCATGACTAAACTAGTCAGTATTACAAGTATCAGTATCAGTATCTGCATGTGGCTGCTACAGTATGGTTCAAGTTAGGGAAACATGATCATAGTATAGTTAGTCCAAGTTCATGGTTATGGTTAATAAAAGAAGAGCCTTAATTGCAAGTCTGTGATGAGATGCAAATGTCAGTCACCCGCGTGAATGTATCCATCCATAACATTCATGCCTCATCCAATATAGATGTAATTGTTGGGGATACTGAGCTGGTTTATCAAGACACTTTTTTTCACATTTGTCATGTAAAAATTTGTAGAAGTTTACAGTCTCCTGATTGCTCCACACAGATCTGATCTGATTTTTTCATCTTCAGTCTCATGCTTCATGTTGTGTATTTAGTGTATTTCCTTTGCACTTTGAACTTTCGCATTTTGCTTTTATGCTGTCCAATTTTTCCACCTCAAGTCTAAAAACTTTTTCTTTAACAATAGGTGGACTGTGCTTTTAATTTCCAGTGTATCCTCTCAGGTTATTTTATGCAAAAAAAAATAATTAAAATGCACATAAAAACAGGCGACATTTTGAGACTATTAGACAAGCATTTGATTTGAGCCACAGTGAGGCGTTTACTCCACTGTAATATGGTTAAAAAAGACAGAGCACCTGGTTGTGTGTGCTGAAAGCTCTTTTCCAAATTACTGTGTTTGTGAAGACTAAATATTCCATCCATAATTCACAGAAGAGTGGAGGAAACCCGGTGAGACAGGAGCCACGTCCATCACTGCTGCTTACGTTTGACTCGCTCAGATGAGTCAAAGAAGCTGCTGGGAGTTTTGCTCTTTCTCTTAGTGTCACTTAGTGTAGGACATTTTCATTCAGGTCCCAAAGCTCTGATGTTTCGCGTTTTGGCACACAACTGCTTGTTACAAATGTGGCTTTTTGTTTACAGCGTGGCATGTTTCCTCTCTTTTTTCATTTCAATGGTGCTTTAAATGAAGCATAC